TATCTATATCTTGATAAATTAATAAGCTTCACTGTTTCTGTTGTGGAGAGAAGATTAAATTCAGTTTGCAAGGAAATCTTTTCAGTTAGTAAATCAGGAGAGGGGGAACTAGCATATCGTTGGTCCAGATATGAAATTCGTTCAGCTAACTTGCGCTTAGCCTCCCCACGGGTCTTACTCAGGTTTGAACTATATGCAATAATCTGGCCACATACGTATGCCTTTAAAGCTTCCCACACTGTGCCCTTAGAGACATCTGATGTATTGTTAAATTCCAGATATACCTTTATTTGGGACCTAATTGCTGCAACATGAACTTTATGCATTAGTAGACTGTTATCCATACGCCAGGGTTTGCCATGGTATTTATTTGAGAAGTTCAACTGCATCTTTACCGGGGCGTGATCGGACAGCACTATAGCTTCGTAGTCAATATATTTAACTGAAGGGGCCAATTTAGAATCCACAAAAAAGTAATCTATTCTGGAAAAAGAATTGTGAGGTCGTGAGAAAAATGAATACTTCCTTTGGGTTGGGTTCATATGTCGCCATATATCTATTGTGCTAGTTGAGTCTAGAAACTGCTGTAGGATCTTGACCGATTTACCCAAGGTCTAAGTTCTATAAGAAGACCTGTTTTTCACGGGGTCTAAAACAAAATTAAAATCACCTGCTAAAATTAAGTTATGTGTATGAAGGTTAGGTAACCGGTTCAGAAAAGAGCTAATAAATTTATCATCATCATAGTTTGGAGCATAGATGTTTGCCAAAATCACTGGTGCAGTAAAAATTTTCCCTGTCACAATTACATACCGTCCATTTGGATCAGCCTGAACACTTGTTAATGTAAAGGGAATAGATTTGCTTATAACAACTGCTGTCCCCCGCGATTTTGCATTAAAATTCGAATGGTAGACGTGGCCTATCCACTTCTTGCGCAATAGCCTATGAGCTTGGTTTTTCAGGTGAGTTTCTTGTAAGAAGACCACGTCTGCTCTTAAGTTTTGCAAGTGAGCCAGAATATTGCCTCTTTTTACTGAACCATTCAGACCCTTACAGTTCCAGCTAACAAACCGCACCCCGGTTTCATTACTAGCCCCTGTAGCCTCCATCACGTCGACCACACAGCGTTATTAGCAAACATAAACAAAGCATGTAGTCTTCGTGCGTCCCCTGGGGAGAAAGAAAGAGAGGAGAAAGAAAAAAGAAAAAAAGAAAAAAAAAAAAGTTAACACATATCCGAACACTAAACTCCAAGGGAACAGAGCGCTTAACCAATCCCCGTTCCACCCTCCACTGCATCTGAACTTGCAGTGAAGGAAAACAAACAGCCATGTGAAACCACCTGTCTTCGGTTACTCAAGACAAAATGCAAGAAAAAGGAGAGGGAAAGACTTCTTTGGCATCTCGCTCCCATTCAAAAGAATTAAAGTCTAAACACAAACATCCGAACCCTCAAACACAAGTCATGAGGCCTCTCATATATATATATATATATAAAGGAAAGAAAGAAAGAAAAGAGGGACACTATCATGACAAAGTAGTGACTTGTAATGCAACTGTCCATTTTTACTGCAACCTCAGAGAAACTGCAGCATCCAAAGCCTTATATAAAACTGTTAAGCAATTCCAATATAGAGCCGGCTTTAAATCAGGGCATAACCCAAGACTAACGTAGAACAGACTCACCAAAACCAATGCAAATGTGTTTCATCTTTAGTAGTGTTCAATCTCGTTAAGTCCCCTTAGAGATGTTTTTGGTATAGAAATCCTCCGCAGCCTGAGGAGAGTTGAACGAATGTCTAGTCCCATTCAACGTGATGCAGAGCTTAGCTGGGTAGAACAGACTGTATTCGACGTTCGCCTCCCGTAGCTTCTTCTTCACCAGGTTGTAAGCCGCCCGTAGCTTGTTCACCTCCGGGCTCATGTCCGGAAAGATGTATACCGGCGCTCCCTCGTACGTCAGCCGTCCTTTCGCCCTCCCGAGGTCCAGTATCCTCATCTTGTCTGTGTAGTAGTGCAGACGTACCAAAATTGCACGAGGGCGTTCACCGTGTCTAGCTGGCTTTGGTGCTAACGTACGATGTGCCCTGTCTATGACCAGGGGGGTAGCGAAGTTATCCGGTCCAAGCACCGTCGAGAAAAAGCCCGCCACAAACTTGATAGTGTTATGCCCTTCAGCCCCTTCCTTTATGCCCACAAGCCTGAGATTCTGCCGCCTGCTTCTGTTTTCCAGATCCATGCATTTGTCCATTAATTTCTTGTGATCCTTGGCTATGTCTTGTTGGGCCTGCTCCCGCGCCCCCACTCTCTCCAGAGCCCCACTGAGTGCATCCTCTATCTCCTGTTGACCCGCGGCTACTGCGGCCTGCTCTGAGCGAAGTTGTGCTAGTTCGTTGGTTAGCTTATCATGCATAGCCCGTATCTCTGTCTTCGTTTCTTCTTTAAGCGAATTTATATTGTCCATAATTTTTTGGTACGATGCGCCAAATTCAGCTTTCATCTGAGTAAGCATTAAATCTTTAAATGCACCCAGTTCTTCCTTTAATGTCAGAAGAGAGAGTGTAGCCGGCAGCTCGGCCTACGCATGCTGCTGCACAATCCCGGCCGTAGCTTCGGCTTGTTCTACTGTAGCATCCGCCATCTTGGGACTTTGTACTGCGAAAGGGATAATTTTCTGAGTCTGTCCTGTGTTTTTCCTCCGAGTCGCCTTTTTCATATCCGACCCTCTATGCTGGGGTTGCCCGTCACCTGGTGCTTCGAGGTATCTTAGCTTTAGAGGGTTCGTGTGTTTATTATCAATGTATTTCACGGAGCCACTTCTACCGTGCCTACTCCATCAAACGCCAGCCGGAAGTCCTCGTTTGTTTTTAACTTTTAATGTATTTTTATTTGTTTTATATTTTCGTGGATTATCTATTCTATTTATTGGTATGTGTGCTTGATATTGAGTGTGAACCGCTGCTGAAACAATGCAATTTCCCAGATTGGGATTAATAAAGTATTTCTATCTATCTATCTGTTTCTTAAATCAGATATGTGACTGTACTTTAAACTTAGTTTTAAAATATTGAAGAGTGCAGTGAATTTGACAAACAGGAAGTGATGCCTCTTGACAAATCATCATTAATGGTGGCATCTGCACTTTTTTACGCTGCTGTGGGTTGGGCAGGAGGTAGCATGGTCAGGGACAGAAAGAGACTCAACAAACTGGTTAAGAGAGCTGGTTCTGTCCTGGACTGCTCTCTGTATTCCATCGCAAGGAGGTGGCGGACAGAAGGATGCTGGTAAAACTAACATCCATCATGCATAACCCCTCCCATCCTCTGCACCACACAGTGGTGGCTCTGAACAGTTCTTTTAGCATGAGACTGTTACATCCCCAGTGTAAGAAGGAGCGTTACCGCAGGTCTTTCCTTCCCACAGCCATCAGACTGTACAACACATCACTGGAGTGATAAGCTAGGTGAAATTATGAGGGACTATGTAATAATCTACTGAGGTGCAATATTTCAGCTCCTGGGGGTGAAATGCATTGTAAATAGGGTTGTGTAATATCTTGTTCCTGATCTCTCTCAAATACTGTACATTGCCCTGCTTTAGGTATTTTTGAGTAGTTGCTCAGAGATCCTTATGGCTGAAACACAGGTTTCTCTCCCCCATTGTGGGATCAATTGTGTGAGTAATATTCGATTGTTCTTGATTTCCTGGTTGTTTAGCCTCTACTGCTGTTCCTGATTCTCTCCAGTGCTACTTTGCCCTTTTTTTAGGTGCCTTTGATTTGTTTATTTGTGCTGTGCAAAATGTAACGTTCTGATGACGCTACTTTTATAATCCTTGGGTGTATCGATCCTAATGCTTTGTTGCCTTTATGTAACTTTTTATTTTAAGACTAAGTGTTCTTTGTTACTACATACTGCAGAGTGGCAGCAAGTTACAGCAGCTGTGTCCTCGTTGTGTTCTTTCCCGTGTTTTTATGAAGTTCTGTTCTTATGGTGTTATGTTGGTTGTTGTCTATTGCTGCTGTAACACAGAAATTTCCCCACTGTGGGATCAATAAAGTACCTACCTACCTAATAGGTTCATTCATATTCTAACTAAATTTATGAAGTTATCCACATCCAGACCAATACACCATGGCCTTGGATTTTCTCTTTCTTTGTCCTTTGCCCCCACGGTCATTTGGCTTTGTGCAGCCAGAAACACAATGTCATGTTCCAGACATCAGCTCAGCGGTCTTTTCTTCTGGAACTGCAGAAAATAGAGTTTGAAAAAGTCAGCATGACTCACACTGTCTTTATTGTTGTCCCAGTGATGAATACTTAAGAGGGGGGACCCCGCCCTTTGTTCATAGGTCCCCACGCCCCAGGGTTGCCCTGTTAACCCTGGGCCAGTCTGCCACGAGACCACTCAGGACATCTGTCTATTACATGCCCCCATTTCCCACAGTGGAAGCACCTTACTCTTTTGCCTGCAGGAAACCTTCTTGTCCTCTGAGGCCTTCCAGCCAACCCCCCTGGTTGTGCGTATATCAGCTGGGGGATGACAACGGCAGGCACTGAAAATGGAGGGGGTCCGGCTGGCTCGACAGGAGTCACCAGCACAGGCACCTTTTTCTTCCATCTTTTTTCAGCCAGGGGATGAAGCGCCCTTTCACATTGGTGTGACATTGGAGGTTCACAATCTGATTATGAATTTCACTTAAACGTCTGGAATTTTTACCAGAAAGCTTTAATGCTTTAATACTTTAATACTCCCCACATACTCATTGTTTCACAAGAATATAAAATAAGTCTTATACTCACCTCAGCAACATAGTAAACAGTCTGAAAACACATGAAATTGACACAAGAACAACAAGAAATTGCAACACACACAATTCTCAGTCATCCCTCTGTCCCTAACGCCAGACACACATCACGGCCAATTACACAACACCAAACAAATTTATGTTCACATATTTAAACACACATCAAAGTCCACACTTATTCATATACAGAAAGCGCTTTGAGCGGAAATCCACAAATAGGACAGACCTCTGCTACACAGCCTCACCATAAAATTTAATCAGATGCAGACACCTTTATAACTCACAATTTCACGCTGTTCAATCCGTTGTCTGACAACTTATACCTTTTTCTCTGTCAATCCTAATAGGCTGTTTCACCATCACATAAACATCAGACATGTAAAAACAACATCAATGTATCCTGTAAACATTTAAAGCAAGTTATTTACATCAGTGTTAGTGTTAGTGATCGCAGCAGTCTTCCACCACCTGTAAGAATAAAGCAAGTTATTTGGTTCCCCTTTACACAAATTCTTGGAGGACAGTCAAGATAGGAGATTAAGTTTTAAATTCTCCCACCTTAGGCTCCTACCTGCCGACAATGCCATCCTGTTCGTGACGCCAAGGTTTGTCGTGGATAGAATGTGATACGGACTAAATTAATTCAGACAAATCATCCCAATTTAAGTAATCATTTAATATTACAATTATTCTGATCAGAGTAGTAGTTAAATAGGTAATCTGGTAGTTAAGGAACAGAGAACAGAATCACTCCTCCTGCAATGGAATAGATAAAGTATTAAATAAGAAGACTGTCACAGATTCAGTCATTCTTGGTCACAGGGTACAGTCAGTCAGAGTCTCCCCCGGCCGGGTCCATGCTCACTCTCACAACTGCCGCACCATCCTTTCTCCTTCTACTTCTCCTTCTACTTTCCTATACCTTTCTGCCTCACTTAGGCTTAGCTAATCTCCATTATATGTCACTTTATTAGCACTGCAGTCAGTCAAGGACAGAGGACACAGCGACTTCTGCCTCTGGAGGTAGGCATGCTAGAAGAAATGGTCAGATGTGTTTCTGTAGTTAGTCTTAATGTACTTACTGCCTGAGGTACAGCGCAACAGGCTTGTAACTTTTAATCAGAGAGAGCAGCAAAACATTGTTTTTCAATCTGGTGTTAAATTACTCTGTAAAGAAATAAAGTGATTTTCATTTTTTTAAAATACCTACAACAGGTCTGATAGATCAAAAACGATGAAGCGGCAACAAAACATAAGGGTTAATAGGACTGTGGCTTTAATACACTTGCTTCATCCCAACATTACCATGTAGATCAGCTGAGCTAGGTACAGTAAGTTACCCCACCCATCCACACCTTCTCTCTATATCCACTCAGTGGCAGCATTTCCTTCCTGCCTGGGATGCAAAGCACTGCCAAGGTTTCTGTTTTTGGAATAACCTAAATCACTTGCAGGCTTTCAGTGCTTGTGAGTAGCTGGAAGAATATGGCCTAGCGCAGTGCCTGGATCTATCATATCATCATATCTAATAATAGCAGCTCTCAGTCTCATAAATGCGAACGGCGTCATGTGTAATGGAGCCATTACAGTAAACCAAGTCCTCTGAATAGCCTGGAAATCCAAAGAGGGTATATTAGTTTATAGACAGATCTAATTTTAGCACGTCTGTAACAGTGCTGCCATCAATCAACAATAAAGGAGTGTGTTCACAGTGGAACAGCTAATGTGAAGTGCAGTATTAGTTACATTTGAGATTCTGACATCTTTCATCTTTATTTTCTAAACAGGCCTAAAGTGTTTTTTTAAAGACATAAATTTTTCTCTGCTGCTCATACATCAGAAACAAAATGGCATCTGGAGTAAAAGTTACTGATCAGGTGAAGGACATCTACAATGAAATGAAAGTACTGAAAAATGTTGCCAATGTATACGATTTGTGGTGTTTTACTGCAAAGATGGTTACATTTTAATTGAGGAAATTTACAGAGAAAGAGATATGGATGGTCTGGATGATTTCTACAAGTTCTTCCTGAGTTGATTGTATCCTAAACAGTGTCGCTACCTGCTATATGACTGCCACTTTGAAACAAACTAATTTAAAAAAGAAGGACTGGGTTGGGTTGTGGGCTCCTGAATTGGGGATTATTTTGCAGAAAAACTGGGGAAAGCTATAGCCAAAACTGAGGGCCACATGTCAGTGCTGCATGTGGTAGGCATTAGGGATTATGTAATAAACAAACTGTCACTCTGTTTCATAGAAGGGTTGATTTAAAGGGATTTGAGAGGATAAATGGTAAAGTTTTCAAATCATCTTTGCTTTTTGTATTGGTTCAACACATCTTAAAGGTAGAGCTGAACTCTGAATAGGATTAGATTCCTGTACCACCAACCTCTATAGTATTTGCCCTACTAAACTGTCCAGTCACACTAACTTGACTGCCAAGATCTGTCTTGTCTCAAATCAGTAATTAGCAATTTTATGTACATTTGTACTGTTAAAGAACGTGCATATTTCAGTGCCCACCCTTTGTCTTCCTTTATGGATTTGTTCATAATGACTGGTGCATTGCATACTGTAAAATATCCTAGACACCCTGCTAGAGTTTATCACGTCACAATAGCTTGGCCTGTAAGTGGCAGCTGGGGGTCAGGAGACAGAACGGGTTGTCTCCTCACCGGCAGGCTGGTGGTTTGACCCCTGGCTTCTCCGATCCACATGTGTCCTTGAGCAAGATACTGAACCCCTAGTTGTTCCCGGTGATATCACCAGTGTGAGTGCTTGGGAGTGTGAACAGGCAAATAGTGTGAAAGCGCTCAGAGTAAGCCACAATGCATAGAAATGTGCTGTAAAAATATAGGACCATTTACACTCAATTCTTCACTCAATCTGGAACGGTTTTTCAAACTTTCCCATATTTTTCACTAGAGTATATAAGCTATGCCTCATTTTGCCCATCTTTTTCTAAATTTGTTCGACTGTTTCCTGTTGCTCCAAACCATTTGACCCAAATCCATGAACTTCTAAGTAAGCAGTTACCTACTAAATTGAATGAGGTTATCAGATTGAGGTTATGTGAGAAATCCTTAAAAAGCATTTTGTTTAGTTGGTTGTGACCTGTCACATGACTACCACCCACGCAGAGGTCAAAGCTGACTCGGTGGTTGACTCACCTTGGTGTTTGGCTTCCATAGTCCCACTGTGGATGGATGGCGTCCGTCGGGTGTCGGGTTTTACGCACGGCGTCCACCAAACGGGATGGAGACCTTCTAGCACCCTTCTATTTAGAGTCGGGAATGCTCCGACACTCTCCCCCGCACACCTGCTCCTTTCCGTCTATCTCTGTGTGACAGACCGATAGGTCCTCCTTTTAGCTCCTATCTTCATCCCCGCTGTCTTCACCATAGCAGGCTGTCCTCATCGGGCCTTTGGCTACTTGTTCAGGATTTATACTTTAGGTCTCTTTCTCTCCTTCTGGCGAATCTGTTCTTTAGCCACCTCTTTCGACAATTAATCTTTTTCACCCGGTGTTATTTTATCGATGGCAGAGGGTGTGCGACCCGAGGATTACTGCGACGAGCAGGTGGAGGACGAGTTTGGAGAGATCATCAAGTGTCGATCTGGTAGGAGATCATAGGTTTCCTAATGGATGTGTGCATGTGTGTTACAATACATTGATCTACACAAACGAGACCTAAATAGTTGTGAATTTTATATTAATGAACCCCCTGCACTGATGCATAATCATATTAGAGGATGCGCAGTGACTAAAAACACCTCAGAACTAAACTTTTCCAGTAGACTAATGAGTATCCCAGCAGCAAGATATGGATACAGGTAGTTCATACAGTATAAACAAAGTAGGCTTTATGTGGTTTATCTTGTCATAGAACGTTCTCTTTATGAGCACAACAGCTCCTAAATTCTCCATCTGGACCCCTGATTTGTGCAGATGTGATTGGGGAACTGGTTAACATGGTAGTACTCGTTCCTGTATTTGACAGTATCTATAATAAAATGTGATTTTAAAAACTGAAGAGAGATGTCTGTCGCCACATGGTTCCATTTATTTTCAACAGTTTATGTTTGATTTCACATAGTTTTATCCTTGTTAGAAATGCTTTTTAAATTTTGGGAATTTATTGTCAAATTACACATGATTACTTTGGAGAACCAAATGTGACTATGCATACAATTTGCAGCCTCTATATCCTGATGATGTCTCTGCTAGTGTCTGAAAATTAGAACTACATTTCCCAGAAACCCCACATTCTTCCTGTTGTAAAGCAGATATTGATACTTTGCTGCTCTACAATCTAAAAAAAAAGAAAGTTTTTTTCCCCCCAGGTTGCTAAGAGGTGGGGAGTACTAGGTGAAGCACTTTTTTAATAAGAGATATGCTGTACAGTATGTCAGTTTCTATCATTTAAGGCAAAAAAGATGAAATTTGTCATCTTTTTCATCTATGCTACAGTATATACTGTGGAACTGTTGCAAAATATGCAAGGCTTTAACTTCAAGTGGCAAGTTAAGTTTGAGGTCTTCAGCTACATTCAGCATTTTTGTCAAGTAGGCAGTTTCAATCTCCACACCTTCGGCTTGTAACACTGGCTTTTTTTTTGTTATAAAGTTGCTGTCTCCAAGCCTAGGCTGACGTAAGCCTGATGACATCACTGCGACATTATCAGGGTTATTTTAGCACAAGCTGCTCAAGAGGCACAAAAGCCATTATACAGCTTTTTTTGTAGGTGGTGTAATCTGACCTTCAATAATCTTTAACAGCACCATGCATTTTAGAAGCTTACCATATACTTTTTATATAAAGGTTATTAGTAACTACAGTTGTCACCTAAGTGTAGTGACAAGAGTAAGAGGTACAATATTTTTCTTAATGGATTATAAAGTAGCATTAAATGGAAATGCTGGAGAAAGTACCTTAAAACGGAGCTTATAGTAAGTACAGAACTCACATAAATGTACTTTTAATCTCTTACTTTTTCTATAGTTCAATGCATTTGCACCGTAAAAGAGGACAAGCAGTGTGAGGTCAAGCAGTGTGTAACGAGGTTGAATCCCATTGAAACTGTCACTCCCAGTGATGTGAAGATCTCTTTTTGCTAAGGCTATTTATATCCTGTGAAATGCCACAGAAAATACTTATTTCACATAAACTGCTCCTGTACGGTGTATTTAACCCTTTAACTATTCTGCACCTAGTGTTCAACACTAGGTGCAGAATAGTGCAGAAGTGAGCTGGTTCAGCCCAGGCTTTGCCTTGTTGTATTCAAAATCAACAGCACACTCATTTGTCAGACTAAATCAGGACTAAATTGTTTCTAGGCTAACTTGCCACTTAGCTCCACCCAGGGCTAAAAATGTCCTGGATGAAAGTGTTGTTTGTGTGATGTGTGACCATGACATTGAGTCCCTTGCAGTGTGCGATGAGTTAGAAGGTTGGGGTGGGGATTTTTTTCCTGTTATAGCACTAGTAAATACTGGATGACCTAGAATGGTCCACTGAGTGGTGAGACACAAGTCTCAAGTCAACCTGATGGAGAGAGACAGATTAGGGTTGAGGTTTCTTTAATACAAACAGGGGCTGGGACAGGTGATCTCCCCCAACTGCTTCCTCAGGAGTAAAATTTCCTCTTGCCCATCTGTCTGTCTATGTAAATAACTTTTTCCCTTGAGTGACCTACCTGCCTATATAAGACTTCAATGAATAAATAGTGCCTTATTTCATATCTCTCACTCTCTATCAGACACACACTTTCACTTGTTTTTGTGTGTGTGTGTGTCTCACCCACTCCCCTGTGATACAGCTGCGGGGTCATCTCATGCTGGAAATAGCGGTCAGCTGGCCCGATGTATGGCTGCTCTGCGGTGTCATATAGCCGGGTTTGGGAGGGTGCCATCCCTCCACCTTTTCTGTCTTCTCTTTCTCTCTCTGTCCCTTTTTTCCAACTTCTCACTTTTGTCTTCCATCGCTTTCAGTTTTTCCTCACTCTTTTTTCCAGTCTATTTACATCTCGCTCT